TATCTTTCTGCATCATCCATATCTCACATCAACTTCAACTGTTGCTTCACAGGGTGCCTCTTATTGAAAACCCTAACAATCAGATGACCTTCTATGAGCAAGTACTTGGTGACAACGGGAAGGAAAAAATATCTTTTAAAAGGAAGAAACCTCCCGCATAACCAGGCTCAAGCAGGGGTAGTCATCTGCTACGAGGGGTGGGGGGTGAGGGGTGGAAGACATTGTGCTGCCTTGAAACTACGCTTGGATCTCGTGATGGCATGTACGGATGTGTCATCCTAGAGATGTTTGACTACCTGTGCAATGCCGATGGGCGTAAAGTAACGTCTCACTCCAGCCAGAGTGACGAGGACACTAACCAAAAGCAGAACTAGTAAAAAGAAAAAAACTATCAGGAGGGATAAGTACATTAAAAAAGCAACCTAAATACACCCAGAGATTCTGATTCAGTAGCTTGTAGAACCACCTTTAGCAGCTTTACCTTGAAAGGATGAGTTTGTTTAATTTTATCAGTCTGTCACATTGTTGGGCAATAAATTTTGCCACTCTTCTGTATAACTGTACTTCTACATGAGTCAACACATGCAGCACAAACAAAAGTGACAGCAAAGACTTGTGGTCTGTCACATTGTGTGTTTACTCATATGGCAATATTTAAATAGGCATTTTATTACATTCTATGTGAGCAGTAGGGTCCCCACATTCAGGTGTTTTTGCATTGTTTTCACTTTTTATACCAAAAGATATCACATAACTGCCTGTATTCTTGATGTTGGTATGTAAAATAATTAGTGTCCTCTAAAAAGATAAATACATAAACGCAAAGGTTGAGGAGTTTGTATTTTGTCTTAACACAGCAAATAAAAACCGCTCAATAGAAATATATTCTTTTTATTGGGTAAATGTAGAGTAGGAGGAACGCATGCACCACAACAGACTGCTTGTTATTTTAGGCAACAGACTGCTGGGATTGTATAAAAATGTGAGTCAGGAAGCGCAGGAGGAAGAAGCACACCACAGAGTTACTCAGCAGAGTTTATAGAAACTTGTGTTAGAGTGTGGATATACTTTCGTATTTGCTCGCCTGCTTTCACAGCCATATGAACTTAAGTGGCATCCTATTCTTTTTCCATAGGGTTAAATATGATATCGACTCACCCTTTGCAGCCATAACAGCTTCAGCTCTTCTGAGAAGGCTTTAATAAAGGTTTAGGAGTGTGTTTTTGCACCAGTCATTTGTGAGGTCAGACACTGACGTTGAATGAGAGGGCGCGGCTCGCACTCTCTACTCTAATAATTAGAGTAAAGACTGCTGTCTAATTGACAGCAAACGGCTGCTATGGCTGATAGTAGCCGTTTGCATACTATGCATACTCTCTCTCTCTTCATATGTGTGTGTGTACAACAGTTTTATGTTAATGTGCAATCCTTAATATGTTTTGTCTGTGTGTGTGTGTGTGTGTGTGTGTGTGTGTGTGTGTGTGTTCTATAGTATACAATAAGAGTACCCTGCAAGTTAATTCATGACGCGAGAGAGATACCCGGCGTGTTGATAAGTGAAGCAGAGGGACCCTGACCAAGAGTCCATATTTGAAGAGTTAGGAGTGATAACATGTTGTAGGGTCAGAACATAGACACCTTTGTAAATTGAGAGCTTTGCTTTTTGGCTCAGTTGTTTCTTTATCACAACAGTGATACCTCCACATTACTGTGGAATCCAACCTCCAACTCCTGCTACATCCTACCATCACTTGTAAACAAGCATCACAAACTAGACACAATTTCATCCATAAAAACCACAAACAGAATTGGTGACAAGGGCCAGCCCAGGCATAGCTTAACCTGCCCTGGGAACAAGCTCAGCATTGTGCCAAGAACGCAGACACAGCTCTCACTTTGGGCATACAAAGCTTTTTTGCATTTTGTTTTTCGGGGTGATATGCAGAACCAGTCTTTCTTCAAACATGGTGTGCACAATGACATCAAAAAGTTCCGCTTTGAACATGTACGTAAAGGTCAATTCCACTTCTGGATTATAGCTTAAATGGCACTAACTGGTAGCAATAAAGATTGCCATTAGTATGTTTTGCAACAGTAAGATTTTTTGTGTTTGTTTGTTTGTTTTACCTTCAAGTGTTTTTCCAGGGCATAATGCCAAAGCAGAGGTGGCCTCCTAAGCCTTATAGCCACGCTGATTGTGAGATTTTCCATTTGTAATGTATGGCCTGGGGATGTTTTTTGCCATACCATTAAAAAAAAAAAAAAGATCAAATGCAGATGTGTATGTATAATCAAACAAAATAATTACATCATAGTTGTATTATTAGTGAGGGTTGTGCGGTTTGAACCTCAAGAGGTACAGAGTACTGGAGCTACATAGACAGGGGTCTAGTGCTGTCATTTATTTTTGAAATGAATTTAGTTTCATTCATTTAAAGATTTTTGGATTTCTCTTCCACTCAGATTTTAAATAAAATCTCACTACAATCCTTTTTCTGCACAACACACTTTAACTTTCTGGGGAGAAAAACACTAAAATCAAGCACCAGCTGAAATATGAAGTATATAAGTCCTCCTAATGATTAGCCAATTTCTACATCTTTGCACAGTTGTCTAGAGGTTTCAGAGAACTACCTAAAACAGTGTCAGCCTTCATTACCAACTTGTTGAATTTTGTTAATAACTGGCTCTAAAGCTGCTACTGTCACGGTCTGCCAGGGCAAGCCGTGGGGATGTTGGAGAAAGGTCCCAAACGCTGGACTTAGTGCAATGAACAGTGCGTTTATTTACAGTGGGGTAATGTACACCACACAATAAATCTCCAATGTGCTCCCTCAACTCCTGTGTTGTGCCTTCTCCTAAGTGCTGGTATACCGCGGTCCGTGCTCTCTGCTCCCGTGCCTACGCACACCCCGTGCGTCCTGCTGTCCTGTGCTCCGCTCTCCTCCTGAGGGGAAAAAACAACAGACGCAGTCGTTACGGCAACAACTCCAGCAGGCATACACTTAACAGCACTTTAAACACTGACATGGAGTCTAACTCAACAATCCTGCACCAGAAGAAGCTCCATCGCTCTGTTAAGTAGCTCCCCCGACGAGCTTGATCAGAAGCAGGTGTGTGAGAACCTAGGCGTGCCCATCAGGCCTGCAGGTGGCTGTCCAGCCACACCCGCAGACAGACACACACACACACCAGCATGGAACACAAGAGCACAGTGCAGCAAACATACAGCCAATACAATAATAATAATAATAATAATAATAATAATAATAATAATAATAATAATAATAATAATAATAAAGGTCCACACTGCGAAGCGGGTCCGTGACAGCTACTCTATCAGACGACTCTAAGATATATGCTATAAGAAAGCAGCTGCAGTCTTTATACTTAAAATCAGGGGCAGCACAGAAGGATTTGAAAGAGAGGACATCTAAGTGTGTGTCTTCAGCGTAAACGCGCTGTAATCTCAGCTTACTTTACATGGGCTTTTTTTCTTTTTATCAATACAGCTATAAAGTGTCACATAGTTATCATAACTCAAGTATTTGTGATTAAGGGGAAAAAAGCAAATTTCCAATTTTCAACTAATTGCTAACAAATAATGTACTGACTTCTATTGATTAGTCAAGAAAAAAAATGTTAATTTATATAAAACTATTCATACAAATCTTTACAATTTCATACTCTTCCACTAGGGGCAACATAGAGTTATACACAGGTAGAGAAAGTTTGTGAGGGAGACATCACACATACATAAAATATCAGAAGAATGTCACTTTGGGGACAGGGAAGGTTTTTGGATTAAAACATGTTTTAGAGCATGCTGAACATTATTAGAGGTATTAGAGGTAACATTATCAGCTATTTATTAATAAGTGACTTTTATGTATATATGCCTGTATATATTGGGCTATTCTTAGTTAGTGTATTGTCTGTCCCTGTTAATGTTTGTTTGTAATGGCGCACTATAAAATAATTTCCCCTATGGATCAATAAAGTATTCTGATTCTGATTCTGAAATCTAATTGGGGACGGTGTTTTGGTCCCCAAAGGGAGAGGAGTACTCAATTGACTGGTGTGTGAGCTGATAGAAGGCCCCAGTTTTCACACAAGTAAACTCTCTCTCTCACACACACACCAATTAAACACTTCACCAATTTCTAAGCATATTTTTAAAGTTGCTATCGACGTGGAATCCTCAACAGATTCTTTGTGTCCCTTCTATGAACTTTAGTTCTTTCCGTAGATCTAGTAGATTCAGGTCAGGTGACTGCTGGGCCATTCGAGCAGTTTTATTTTCCTTCTCTGAAACCAAGTGTGAGTTTCTTTGGTTGTGTGTTTGTGGTTACTGTGTTGCTGAAACGTCCGCCCTCATTTCATCTTTATCATCCTTGTAGATGGCAGCAGATTTTTATCAAGAATGTCTCGGTGCATTTTTCCATTCATTCTTCCTTCAATAATATGAAGCGGCACGCTTCATATTATTGAAGTAATATTATTATTATTATTATTATTATTACTGGCACAGTAACGCATGCTGGAAAAAGCCACACACCATGATGTGAACTGTTGTTAAGGTGTTTTTGGAGACATATGCAGCGCCTTTTGACCTCCAAACATGGTGTGTATTACAGCATCCAAAGAGTTCAGTTTTAGTCTCATCTGACCAGACTATATCCTTCCAGTATTTCACGGGGTTGTCTAAATGTTTTTCAGCAAACCTTAGACATGCTTAAGCAATGGAGTCGTATGTGGTGAGTGTGCATACAGGTGGTTGACAGCACTACTTATAGTTTTCTTTGAATCAGTTGTACCTGCTTATTCCAGGTGTTTCTGTAGCACTTCATGAGTGGTCCTTGGCTCTCTGCAACTCTTTTGATAATTACCTGCTGCGTGTGTGTGTTTGCTGTTTGTGTGTGTTTGAGTCAAAGGGGGCTTAACACTGTTCATTTGTTGTTTGTTATTTATTATTGCAACATCCTGGGATATGTGCTGTTTTTCAGTCTGCTCATTTTAGCTTTAATTGTCCTGTACCATCTACCTGAGGGTAACGGCTCAACCAGGTGATGATCTTCTGTGTCGTGTTGATGACCTTCTGGAGTGCTGGACAGCTGGCAGCCCACACTGGTGTGCAATATGCCAGTACAGATTCAACACAGTGTGTATAGAAGGACACCTGCAGCTCCTTGGGTAGGGCTGTGGTGATGCCATCTGGAAAGAATCGGATTTGCAGCTGCTTCATTTTTAAACATGAAAATGGTTCCAAACACAGCCAAAAGACACACAGTAGGGTTGTCTAAATCGTGGATTGGCTGCAGGTTCAGAGACTGTACTTCAATGTTATTGAAGCAATGTGGGATCATCTCGACAGATCAGAAAGGGAGCCAATATCCAGAGAAGAGCTTTGCATTTCGCTCAAGCAACCTGGAAAACTGTTCCTGAAGGCTACTTAAATAAATGACAAGGAGGCTGTTAAAGACTCTGTTTTTGACTTATATGCTGTATTTCCATGTATGTTTGCCTATTTTTCAATAAATCGTTGCACCTATTATCATTTTTTTACTAGCAAAATATAAAGAAATGACTGGTCTTATTTTGACCCGCCCACCGGAGTTGACGTTAGCATACGTAACGGATTTCCTCACAGCTAATTGGATGACCGTCGCTCCTTAGCGTGGCGGGAGCCAGAAATGAATGCATGAAGCAAACGTGTCTGGTCCTGCTGTGCGGACAGAAACACGATCGGTTGCTTTATATTATTTCTGATTATGAGCAGGTTACGTTCAGCGATGCAGAAAGGCAAGCGAGCCGCAGTGGAGGTGGTAGAAAGCGCATTACCGAAGCGGAAGAAGACAGCAGTGAAACAAGGTAACCACGCTGCTGTTACTTAATATCTGCGCGTCGTAGAGAGATCTACACTTCAGCTTTCATTGCATACTTGAAAGTAAACGCATCGCTTTCCGTGATGCTAAAAATGATGCTAAACTGTTTAAGCAGTGCCAGAATGTTTTAGCAGCTTCAGAATTTACAGCAGTACAGATGCGTGCGCAGCCAAACCGGGTCCTGCAGGCTCGTGTTGGGTAAAGTCTGATACTGCTGCAAGAAATGGCATGAATGAATGTCTGATGGGACTTGTTTCAATCTAATAATCATATTTATTATAGTATACAATAGAAACGTTTAATAACGGCACAATAGACAGATATGATTTCAGCGGGATTTCTTTAGTCTGAGTGAGAATTGTGTTTTTGGTCTTCCAGAGGAAACCACAGATGCGTCCTCACCATCTCCGCACCACACTTTCCCTGATCCTGCTGATGTCGTCCGCTTTCGCTCTCAACTCCTTAACTGGTACAACAAGGAGAAGAGAGAGCTGCCATGGAGGACTCTGGTAAAAAGAAACTATATTATACTACTTCGTTGTCATCATTAATATACATTAATGTAACATGTGATGTAGAAATAAGTTTGGTTCAAAGTTAACGTTTCTGTCGTACTTTTAGTCTTTTTCTCAGAGGAAATTTGTAGCGTTGCCTTTCTTTACTTTCTACAGGCTATAACGGAGTCAGACATCAACATCAGGACATATGGAGGTGAGAAGAGTTGGGTGCATTCTTGACAAATGTACACATCTTTAACTGCTGCTTAAAGTGATGTGCTTTTTTCAGTATGGGTTTCAGAAATAATGCTGCAGCAGACTCAGGTTGCCACAGTAAAAGACTATTACAACAAGTGGATGAAGGTGTGCATCGTGTAGCTTTCTTGTGCACTGGACTTCTTGTGACACTGATTTCACTGTGTGCAACTTAAAGCTTCTATTTATTATGCTGCAGAGGTGGCCCACAGTCCAGGATCTTGCAGCTGCCACTCTAGAGGTGATGCCTTAAAGCAGCAAATGCACATACAATGATTTTAAAATGCTGCTGTTTTTAATTTGGATGTACTGATTGTGTTGTTTGGTAGGAGGTGAATCAGATGTGGGCAGGCCTGGGCTACTACTCTCGTGGAAGAAGGCTGCATGAAGGAGCGCAGAAGGTCTGATTGTGTTCTTCCCTTTATCTAACACTTCTAAACAGTCTGTCTGCAGAGAAGTCTCACACCTTCTGTGTTTGGGTGTTCATTATATGTTCCTTTAGGTGGTGTCAGAGCTAAAGGGACAGATGCCTCAGACGGTTGAGAGCCTGCTCAAACAGCTGCCTGGAGTGGGACGCTACACTGCTGCAGCTATAGGCTCTATTGCACAGGGGCTGGTGGGTCATTAGACATGGATATCTGCAGCAGAGCAAAGTCTTAGGTACTCTTTTATTAATCGCTCATAGTGATGTGATCTCTCTTGTGTAGCTTACCGGAGCTGTGGACGGTAATGTCATTCGGGTGCTGTGTCGCCTGAGGGCGATTGGAGCTGACAGCACAAGGCCAGCAGTGACAGAGGCACTTTGGTGAGATTCACCTCCAAACCAAAATAATATATAAACGGAAATCTTTTGAATGTTTTTATTTCTCTTGTGTTTAAGGGATTTGGCCAATTTGCTGGTGGATCCTGAGAGACCTGGAGACTTTAACCAGGCCATGATGGAGCTGGGAGCACGAGTCTGCACCCCTAAAGGGCCCCTGTGCAGTCAGTGCCCCGTGCAGTCTCACTGCCACTCTTATCACAAGGTTGGGATGATTTCGAATTGCGACTGGTACCACTCAGGATTATGCGAACACAGATTAGAAAAGATTCTCTCCAGTTAATGGCATGAGGCATGTTGTGTGTCTGCACAGGTTCTTGTCAAACAAGAGCAAAACTCTAAGAAGCTTTTGGGGAAGCTGGGTACAAAGACTTCAGAGCTGCCTGACATAGAAGACTGCAGTAAGTCTCCTCCCCTTCAGACCTCTCAGATGTCTGTATAGTCCTGAAATTAAAAGTATCTTTCTATATGTGAAGCGAACAGTGTAACATGTCCCCTGTGTCCCTCGGAGCCCTGGGATGATGAGCTGGGTGTTCAGAACTTCCCCAGAAAGCCGTCGAAGAAGCCCCCCCGAGTGGAGCGAACTCTTACCTGTGTGGTGAAGAGGCCTGGAGATGACGGGGAAGAAAGGTTCCTGCTCATACAGAGGCCAAGCAAAGGTTAGCACTGATTGCAACATCAGCTTGTGCTGGTCAAGCGTTGGATTCAGAATGTGCACGATTCTATCCTGATAACGAGACTGAATCACACTGCTTGAATCACTGAGAAACTGTTAGTGTTAGGAGTGATGCATTGGTCTGGATGCAGGCTATAATTTTGGTGGATGTCTCAGTCATTGTGCAGCTTGATTCAGACACACATAAAAAACCGGTAAAAGTAAGTAAATCTGTCTGGGTGGGCTGCAGGTTTGTTGGCAGGCTTGTGGGAGTTTCCAAGTCTTCTGCTTGAGGTTGAAAACTCTGAGAAGAAACAGAAGGGGGCGCTCTGCGAGGAAATCAGCAGAATACTGGGAACGCATTTAACTGAAAACCTGTTCCAGTATGTGGGAGAGGTAAGCTGGATATTTAGACGCTCTGTCATCTGCCTTTAATAGGAAATACGCTGTTTGTGTAACTCTGCTGCACTGGTTGGCTGTTTGCAGGTGGTCCACATCTTCTCCCACATCCACCAGACTTATGTGGTTTACAGTGTGTGTTTAAAGGAGAGGGACACACACACACAGACTGAAAACACACAGTGGCTCACTAGATCTGCTCTACAGGGAGCTGCTGTGTCCACAGGACTGAAAAAGGTTTGTGGTTGTTTTTTTATGTACTGTCTGATTGAATTCTGTCTGTGCAGCAATAAGAGTGCACTTGATTGTCACTTAGAGAAAGCATGCTATAACAACCTGCCTTTACCTTTCCAAATATATATTGGATATAGTGAAAACGGGGCTGCAGGTGCTCGTGCTGTCAAAGTTCATTTTCACTATGCAAACAGATTCAGATCATCACCTGCTGATCCTTAACATTGACCACAAACCTTTTCATAAAAGGCAAGAACAAAGTAGCTAAACAGAACCTAAGTCGCAGTGTGTAGCTTCCCTTAATACTGGCAACCCACACACTGAGGTACCGCTTGGTGGTACAAGAACAAAAGCTGCGGTTCGGTCACAACTTTCCGTGACTTCATTGATTACAAAACCCCAAACAAATAAGCAAGAACGATTGTGTTGTCTGAGAAGAAGATTGTGTTGGTGTGTTTTCAATTTGCTGTGTGCTGGTACATGATGACACGAGCCACAGTTCAGGGGTTCCTCCTCTCTGCTCTGACAGTCTGACACTCGGGGATTAATTCACAAAGCCCATCCTGTGCACTCTTCGTTAAAAAGCTTTTATTGGCTCATCTCTGTGAAAAGCCTCAACATGACAGTCAGTTTGACACATGCGGCGTTCTTACTGCAGTTTTGAGCTCCATGGTTCAGTGCAGATGTTCAAAGGGGAAGTCAGACAAGTTTAAATCAGGTTTTTTACTGCTGGAGTCAGATAAAGAACGTTTCCTGCTTTGTTCTGCTACTACACACAAATGTTTTGGGTCAAAGGCTGATCGAATAGAACTGAATGTAAAGTCATAAACAAATAGTCCCCCAGTAATGTCACAGAAAATACACATACATGTGTAAAATGTCGTCAAGATTGTCTCACGTTTCTGTAACGTATTTAAAAAAGCATCTAATTGTCTTTGTGTGGTCAACATTAAATCTCCTGCAGATTGTGAAGCTTTATGATTCTGTGGACAGTCTGAAGGAAAAAAACACAAAGGTGAGCCTCGACATTTGTAAAACTGCTCAGATAATTTATTATGTAATCCTACCGTAACTGTTTGTCTCCGCTCGTCTTAGGATGGAAAAAGGCAAAAGGACTCGGGAATAATGGATAACAAGAAGCCGCAGAGCTCTAAAAAGAACAAACTCAGTGCAGCGAGCAGCGGCAGACAGCTCTCCCTCAGTTCCTTCTTCAAGACTGTGAAAGAGGAATGTTGTTAGTGTCCCTGAAAAGTGCCTTTCCACATGCATGTACCTAAATATCGCCATCACTGCCGTTTCCACTTTAAGCTATTAACATAGCAATCAGTTTTTAATTAAAATTGTATTGTGTGATTTTTTTATTTTTATTTTATGTTATTATTTTTAATGACTGATTTCTGTCTCATCGTAAACCAACTGCAGGATTTTAAGTAATTTCATGTGAGCCGACGACGTGTTTTACACTTAGTATGTTTCATAATTGTCATGTTTGTTGCCACAATAAAGTTGTAACATGGGAAAGAAGTGTAAATAAAAGATAAGCTCTAGTCTTCACTTGAGCTGGTGACGTGTGAGTTGAATGTCCAACATCTGTAAGGCCAAATCAAGATAAAGATTGAAGTATCTTTTTACAATAATGACCATTTTACATTCTGAAGGATTCATTTGTATTGAAATGACCTCGTCTGACTGTCTGTGCATAAGTAAGGAGGTAAAAAAGTCTTTATCAGCCAAACTTTGTAGGGAAACAGCGCCCCTTAGTGGGCCGAATGAAACAGGAAGTGATCGAAATCACGGTTTCTACACATGGAAAAACTGGAGCGAAAGACGCTTTGTGTCACCGTGCAGTGTTTGGTTTGTTTGCCTGAGCTGCAGCCGATCCTGCGTTAGCGCGGCTGTTTCTGGCACGGCTGGTTGCTCCAGTCTGTCTTCATTTTATCGCAGGGCTGCAGCTGCACTTGGCTCACATTTACTGAACTTTAAGCCCGGTCCAAAGGTTCCCCCCACGCTGTCACTGAAGTTTACTGCGTCTGAGCATCAGCGGGCAAATTGCTGTCTTGAACTGCAGGACGTTTGAGGGGTTTTATTCTTCTTCTTTTTGTTTAAAGTCCTTGAAAGCTCTCAGATGGATTCCGCACGGCAAACTGTCCTGTCTGTACACCAGAGGATCGTCGACAATGGAGGTATGATGTTGATTATTTTCCCACATGTGTGTTACGCTTTTATTGCTTTTTCTTTTTGCATCCCTGTGTCTCGTGTGGTTGTTGGGCAGATTTTCAGTGTAAAAGGAAACCTTGTCTTAGTCTGTTGAATGAGTGGGAAGATGCAGATGTGCTCCAGAGCTCGGCTTCACAGTGACTGCTCTGTGGTTTTTGCCACATGACTGTCTGAATGAGCGTGACACTTTTTATCTTGTTATTGTCTTGTTACAATTATCTTTGTAATTGGCATAGAGGAGCAGCAGGCATCCAAGCTCACTCACCAAGAATGTTTATGGAGAAAACTAGTTTCTTAGCTGCTTGTTCATAAATGCTAACAGCATATGTACATGTACACTCAGCTCCTGTTCAACCATATTTGTTAGAGACATATTTAATCAGCCAATCACATGGCACATGACATTGTTATATTTGCCACACAACTGTATTTACATTTGATAGAGAATGGACCAAAAAAAGAAGAAAGTATCCAGTGAGCAGCAGGTCTCTGGCTGAAAAATGCCTGGTTGGTGTCAAAGGTCAGAGGATAGGAAGGCAACTGTAACTCAAAAACAAAAAATAAAAATCCCTTGGAGCAGATGGGCGCCACGCCTGTCAGCTAAGAACAGGAAACTGAAGTTACAGTTTGCAC